TTTAGTCACTTTAAATGTATACATTGTATCCGCGCCGTAACTTCGTGTGATTGGCCAATTACAGAGTCATTAAAGCGAAGTAAATGTCTAGATCCATTCGGCGTGTGAATCTCGGCGAGCTTTGCGTATTTCTTCCAGATCTGTGCGCTAATCCAGTGTGGGACCTCCTGGAATATAAAGACCGCCCACTGCTGCTCTCTCTCCTTGTGCAGGGGGACTGGTCTGCTCTCCGCCCCCTCCTGTAGTTTTCTGTTGTGGGTGGGGCCTGATGGGCACCTCCTACAGTTCTGCTATCTCCTTAGGCAGAGTGACTGGTCTGGTCTCCGCCCCCTCCTGTAGTTTTCTGTAGTGGGTGGGGCCTGATGGGCACCTCCTACAGTTCTGCTATCTCCTTGGGCAGAGTGACTGGTCTGGTCTCCACCCCCTACTGTAGTTTTCTGTAGTGGGTGGAGAGCCTGCTGGGCCCCTCCTACAGCTCTGCTCTCTGCACAGGGTATGCACAGCACAGTGATGACATCACAGTAAGCCGTTCCAATCCAGGAGAGGGGGCTGTACAACTGTGGGGGGGGGAGGGAGCCTCATTTCTGTAATGGGTGGAGCCTGATGGGCACCTCCTACAGTTCTGCTCTCTCCTTAGGCAGAGTGACTGGTCTGGTCTCCACCCCCTACTGTAGTTTTCTGTAGTTTTCTGTATTGGGTGGAGCCTGTTGGGCCCCTCCTACAGTTCTGCTATCTCCGTAGGCAGAGTGACTGGCCTGCTCTCCGCACCCTCCTGTAGTTTTCTGTAGTGGGTGGAGCCTGATGGGCCCTCCTACAGTTCTGCTCCCTCCTTATGCAAAGTGACTGGTCTGGTCTCCACCCCCTCCTGTAGTTTTCTGTAGTGGGTGGGGCCTGATGGGCCCCTCCTAGAGTTCTGCTCTCTCCTTAGGCAGAGTAACTGGTCTGGTCTCCACCCCCCCTGTAGTTTCTGTAGTGGGTGGAGCCTGCTGGACCCCTCCTACAGATCTGCTCTCTGTTTATGCAGTGACTGGTCTGGTCTCTTCCCCTCCTGTAGTTTTCTGTAGCGGGTGGAGCCTGCTGGGCCCCTCCTACAGTTCTGTTCTCTCCTTATGCAGAGTGACTGGTCTGGTCTCCGCCCCCCCTCCTGTAGTTTTCTGTAGTGGGTGGAGCCGGATAGGCCCCTCCTACAGGTCTGCTTTCTCCTTATACAGAGTAACTGGTCTGGTCTCTGCCCTCTCCTGTAGTTTTCTGTAGTGGGTGGAGTCTGCTGGGTCCCTCCCACAGCTATGATGATGATTTCACTGTTACTTTTACAAGTTGTTATCTGGGTTTGCAAAGGCAAACGCTATTGAGGAATATATTTAATTTAAAGTGTTTGCACCCAGAGTTCAGCTTTTGTCTCCCCATGACATACGTGTAAACTGCGGCTTTTATGTTTTTGCCATGTAAAGGGGAGACAGAGTGAGATCACTGAGCCCTCCCCCTCCCACCGGAGGGACAGAAACTTATCTCGTGAGGCAGAAACGTGTGTCCTCACATATTTCAAGCAACTAAAAATAACATTTATAATTTACATTTTGTAATTATTTACAATTAAAATTCTATTAAAATATCTTTAAAACATTTAAATTTAAATTTTCTTTTATAAATTAACAAAAAAAAACTATGGGTGATTAGGGTGTGCCTAGGCACGACTGGCACCCCCTGTGCGCACGCCTATGATGCAAATACAGCCTGCTTAGGAACACCCACTCCTCCAGACTGACACTTATGCAGGCCATAGACGGGTTGAAAATTGGCCGTTTTTAAAAAAAAAAAAATGAAAAATCGGTTGTTCAATTGGCAGATGTTACCACCAATGGTAAAAAAAAACGGCCGATTTTCGTCCCTTGCAGAGAGCTCCACTATTATATTTTATATGAGAAGTCTTGCGGTTGCAACAATGTATCCATTTGTATCCATTTCAGATACAGATGTTTTTATTCGGATACAAATGGATACATTGTTGCAACCGCAAGACTTCTCATATAAAATATAATAGCGGACTGGATTTCTTCTTCTTCTTCTTCTTCTTTTTCTTTTTCTTCTTTTTTTCTTCTTCTTTTTCTTATTCTGCTTTTTTGCTTCTTTTTCTTATTCTTTTTTCTTTTCTTTTTCTTTTTTTCTTCTTCTTTTTCTTTTTTTCTTCTTTTTTCTTCTTTTTCTCTTCTTTTTTCTTCTTTTTCTGCTTCTTTTTCTTTTCTTCTTTTTTTTCTTCTTCTTTTTCTTCTTTTTCATTTCTTTTCTTTTTCTTCTTTTACTTCTTCTTTTCTTCTTCTTTGCTTCTTCTTCTTTTTTTTTCTGCTTTTTCTCTTCTTTTCTCCTTTTTCTGCTTCTTTTTTTTCTTCTTTTTTTCTTCTTTTTTTTTCTTCTTCTTTTTCTTTTTCTCTTCTTCTTTTTCATTTCTTCTTCTTTTTCTTTCTTTTTACTTCTTTTTCTTTTTTTTTTTCTTCTTCTTCTTCTTCTTCTTTTTTCTTCTTTTACTTCTTCTTCTTCTTCTTCTTCTTCTTTTTCTTTTTCTTCTTCTTGCAGGTCACGGCTCATGCGCAGATCGGTAAAACGATCTGTCTGATTTGCCCCTCACTGCCGGGAAAATTGGCCGATCATCAAAATCGGTTGCAAATTTTCCAACTTTACCAATAAAAAAAATGTGCCAAACCCCCCGAAAAACAGCCGACCAATTAACCCACTAACAATGCGAAAATCGAATTTTTTTTTTGACCGAAAAATCTTCTATGGCCTGCATTACCCATCAGGGACAACTAATATTTAACTTTTTTCAGGACCGAGCACTAAAACAGGGTGCTGTGATGCTTTCTTTTTGACCCATCTATGGCCTGCATTACCCATCAGGGTGGGATTTCTTCTTCTTTTTCTTTTTTTTTTTTGAACTAATATTTGCCTATGGCCTGCATTCCTCCCACTGCTTGTGTCAGGACTGAGGGCTCTTGAGAGGAGCACTAATACAGGGTGCTGTGAGCTTTCTTTTTAATTTCTTCTTCACTAACTCCTACAGGGAGGGCTGAGAGGATGCACTTCCTGCTGATGCCGCTGCCCACCAGCCATGATCTGCCTGCATTGTATTGAGAAGCACAGAGACCCAGTGATGCTGCATGCACCATCTCTTGGCAGTGCATGTTAGTGTGTTGCTGTATATTACGCTGCACATCAATGCACATTCGTTGGAAACGTGTTGGGATACCATTCATATGAATGCCACTGCATCGCACCAACACACGTTAGTGCCGCGCCATAGTATGGATGGGCCCTAAAAAGTCAGGAAAAGTCAGGAAATACGATTGGCTGGGCTACAGCACTTAGAATATTGTTCTCATTAAGGGGCTGTGATAAAGCAAAAGCCAGCGCCCCCAATCCAGCCTATCCGCATTTCCGTCATCTGTCGCACTCCAGGGTTTCGCAGAAGCGCGTACCGGCTGCATGTGTATAAAGTGATGCGTCAGCGGCACGTTCTTTGCCTCCCTCCCTCGCTGTTCTCTCCCTCCCCTCCACCATGGCTGCCCTTCCCCCCCCCCCCCCATCCGCTGTCAAACCTCCTGTATTCTCTTTCATGGCAATCTTGCCGCATCAGCGTTTTTAATTCCCTGCGCCAGCCGGGGAAGGAATTGTTCCACTTGAAAACCTCCGGCTTGGAGGACCTCGGAAGAGAGAGAGAAGGATCCTTGTGGGGAATTCTTAATCGCCCCATTGTAGGATCGGGGAATCTTCCGCTGTCATTGGATGAACGCTCCGCGGGCAAACGCGAACGTTATTCATATGACCTGTTTATTCGGAATGAACTGACCTGACCCTGATATGCAAAGGGCATTGAACTGTTCACTTCAGGGCCAGCCAGCCCCAAGAGCTTGCAATCTAATGTCTGCATCAGGTTTTTAGAGAACACGCAGGCTAGAGCCAGTTATGCTAGGTACAAGTCATATGGGTGCTACGGCGCTCACGCCTTCCCGTGCGTTACGTGCCCTTCGTGCGAGAATCACGTAAAAGAAGCCCCCTGACCAGGGGTGGACTGACAACTCATGGGGCCCCCGGGCAATAGGGGATCATGGGGCCCCTGTGTCCTTGCCTAAACTCAAAAAAGCCTTTGAAAAAGGTACCAGGGGCATCTCATGGGGCCCCCTATTGATCCCGGGCCCTCGGGCAGTGCCCGAGTTTCCAAATGGTCAATCCGCCCCTGACCCTGACCCTGACCCTTTTCCAAACTCACTCTGCAACCCAACCACACAATGTTGCGGCACCACGCAGGCATGCAACACTGCACATGTAGATATGTGGGGGGGGGGGCGCCACTGACAATTACAGACACCACCACGGTGTGCAACGCGTTTCTGTGCACGTCGGGAAAGCGCATGATTTTGCATGCAATGCCAAAACACACACAAGGTGCGATCCCAGCCTTAAGTTAGATGTATATGAAACTAGGCAGGGGGCCCACGACATCCAAAAAAAAAAAAAAAAGTTTTTGGCTGGACATACACTTGTGTGTTGTGTGTCACGGCGGTCACATGACCCTAAACCTCGCCCCGCCTCCCGGCTTCTGAAACCCTTAAAGGGCTGGGAGGGAGGGTAACCCTTTGCGCCGGCGCCTCCCGGCCCTTTAAGGGTTTCAGAAGCCGGTAGACGGGGCGAGGTTTAGGGTCATGTGACTGCCGTGACATGCCGTCACGGTGGTCACATGATCGGGAAAGGTCCCGATCGAAAGAGGAGATCGGGACCTTTCCGTGAGTACCGGACACGTGCGCTGGGAGCGCGCAGTGCGCGCGCTCTCAGCACATATGTTCTTTTTTAATCGAACGCAAATCTGCGGGCCGCTCGGCGTCTAGGCCCCACATTTGCGTTCGGCCAGCGTGAAGAGATTAAAAATCCTTCCTTGAGCTCCAACCCTTTACCTAGGCTGAGACGATGTTATCAGCAGGGGCGGACTGACCATTTGGAAACTCAGGCACTGTCCGAGGGCCCGGGGTCAGTAGGGGGCCCCATGAGATGCCCCTGGTACCTTTTTGATAGGCTTTTTTGAGTTTGGGCAAGGACACAGGGGCCCCATGGTCCCCTATTGCCCGGGGGTCCCATGAGTTGTCAGTCCGCCCCTTGTTATCAGTCCGCTGCGGAAGCATTTCTTCAGTTTCCCCTCCCCCAATGATCAGACTGTACATTGTACCTTTGTATCAAGGTGAGAAGCTGCAGCAGGGGGCTGATCTGTTTTAGACATTTGTGAGCACAGAACTGCACAGGCACCAGGGTCTACATGATTGCATAATCTTTGAGCCGGTACCTCAGTCCAAGAAGTGGTGATTCTGCAGGATTCTGATTTTTTAATTGTTAAGGGCATCCCTATGCATTTGCTAGCACGCTAAGTTTTTTGGGCGTGGGCTGAACCGTATGGTGCAGCGACACCATGCAGTTTGGCCCATGCCCCCCCAAAAAAATCAGCGTCAAACCGCATGGTGTCGCAGCACTGCATGGTGTCCGTGTCGCATGTTTTTGGAAAAAGAGTCAGGGACTTCTCTCTCCTTACTTTTCAAAACAGATGGGCTGCCCTACACTGTAGGCACGGGAACGCACAGAAAACGCACGCTCGGTCGCACCACCAGTGGGTGCAAACCTCACCCTATTCCTGTTGGGTTTGTATTCAAAAACCATAAATTCCCTATTTTTCCCATGGCCACCTCTGTGTCCTAGTACAGAAGGTGTGGAGTGGGGCAGGTGTGTGGGGTAAATCCTTGTTCCCGGTCCTGGTCTGCAGGCACAGTGCATCCGCAGACAGGCTGAATGGAAACACAGAAAGGTTTACCCCGAGAGGAGCCGGGACTGGAAGGACAAGAGAGGAAGCAAACAAAAGGACACTTTTTTCTGTAATTTTTTTTTTTTCCCCATCTGTAAAAAAAAGGAGATAATTCCTGAATATGAGTGAATGGAACGTTCCTCCCGCAGACAGAGGGGAGCATTCATGTGCATCACATATCTGCGCTCCGAAGAGAAAACAAAAGCACCGAATTTCCAGCTCAGTGGATTTAGATTTACGTATCAGGATTTATAATAGAATACAATGTATGGGAGACCTCACTGCTTTGGCTGATTATGATCTCCTCCCCTTCAGTCTTGCACAGGTGTACCGGCTCCTCCCCTTCAGTCTTGCACAGGTGTACCGGCTCCTCCCCTTCAGTCTTGCACAGGTTACCAGCTCCTCCCCTTCAGTCTTGCACAGGTTACCAGCTCCTCCCCTTCAGTCTTGCACAGGTGTACTGGCTCCTCCCCTTCAGTCTTGCACAGGTGTAGTGGCTCCTCCCCTTCAGTCTTGCACAGGTGTGGCTCCTCCCCTTCAGTCTTGAACAGGTGTAGTGGCTCCTCCCCTTCAGTCTTGCACAGGTGTACCTGCTCCTCCCCTTCAGTATTGCACAGGGTTAGTGGCTCCTCCCTTTCAGTCTTGCACAGGTGTACCGGCTCCTCCCTTTCAGTCTTGCACAGGTGTAGTGGCTCCTCCCTTTCAGTCTTGCACAGGTGTAGTGGCTCCTCCCCTTCAGTCTTGCACAGGTGTACCGGCTCCTCCCTTTCAGTCTTGCACAGGTGTACCTGCTCCTCCCCTTCAGTCTTGCACAGGTGTACTGACTCCTCCCCTTCAGTCTTGCACAGGTGTTCCGGCTCCTCCCCTTCAGTTTTGCACAGGTGTTCTGGCTCCTCCCCTTCAGTCTTGCACAGGTGTTTCGGCTCCTCCCCTTCAGTCTTGCACAGGTGTTCCGGCTCCTCCCCTTCAGTCTTGCACAGGTGTTCCGGCTCCTCCCCTTCAGTCTTGCACAGGTGAGCCAGCTCCTCTCCTTCAGTCTTGCACAGCTGTACCGGCTCCTCCCCTTTAGTCTTGCACAGGTGTACTGGCTCCTCCCCTCCAGTCTTGCACAGGTGTACCGGCTCCTCTCCTGGACTAAAAAACAGCTTCCTTTGATCTCACTGCACACTGTAAGCTTCTCACAATGTGCATTAGAAGCTGCAGCAAGTAAGATAGAGCTCCGCCTCCTTTCCTGGCTGAAAGACGTCCAGCATCATCTAGCACTTTCCTCTCCAGCTGAGCATGTCCAAGCTTGGACATCCAACCCTAATCGCAGGTAAACCCAAGGCGTGTGGCTACATGTGAACAGGGCCATGGATAAGGGGGTACCACCAGTCCTCCTGTATGCAGCCCAGGCCATAAGGGGGGCCTAGGAAAATTAATAAATTGAATGTGGGCAGGGAGGGGGATCGGCACAGCTGGGGGACAATTACTGGAACCGATCCCCTGTATGGCTCTCTCTGCAACAGCTGAAAGCATTCTCCTCCTTTCATTCCCACTGGCTTTCAGCTGCTGCAGAGAGAATCATACAGGGGATCGGTTCCAGTAATTCCCCCCCCCCTGCACCCATCACCCTCCCTGTGCATCATACATTTCCTCCTGCTGCCCATGCCCTCCTGAGTGCCCCCCCCCTAACTGCAAGCACACAATAGAATCTGACTATTTTATTTCTATACATTATTTTATTCTATTCTATTCATTAATTTTATTATTTTAATTTTATTTTATTTGTCTAATGATTTATTTTATTGGTTTATTTTATTTTATTTTTATTTGTCTATTTTGTTTATTATTATATTTTATTTGCCAAAATATTTATTTTATTGGTTTATTTTATTTATTTGTCTATTTTATTTTATTCAGTTATTTGATTTGATTTGCCTAATGATTTAATTTTACAAATATTTTTTACAGATATTACTATTAGATTTTTCTTATTATAGGAATTGGATGTTTATTTGAAATATCGATTGCACCTGGCACTTTTATGAGATTTGTTTATGTTTATTTTGGTTTGAAGTAGTTTGTTGCACACTGGCCTACGGCGCTTTGATAAACGTGTATTAGAATTGAACAGGAATAGAGGTGGGGTGTAGGGTAGCACTGTCTATTTCATTTTATTGTTTTTTTGTTTTATTTTTTTATTATTTGGCTTATTTTATTTTTTTGTTTTATTTTATTCTATTTAATTCATTTTTTTTACTAATGATTTATTTTTTTGGTTTATTTTATTTTATTTTTTTTATTATTTTGTCTATTTTATTTATTTATTTTAGTTTGTTTGCCTAATGATTTCTTTTATTTATTGATTGATTTTTTTTTTTTTTTGCCCTATATGGCTGCTTGTTTTCTGAGGATGGCAGACTTGTCTCTTCTTACTCAATAAGTGAAGTCCCTCGTATCTCTGGCCGGAGCAGCAGTGTAGAGTTACAGTGGTGTACTCAGTGGGCGTACAGCAATGTGGCCTGAGTGACATTTGGGACACACAATCAATGCTAGTAATGCAGAAACACAAAACATACCACAGGAACCCAAGACCAAATGATGGGGTCTACCATCAAAGTATCCACCAAGTGAAAACTGACTTGCAAAGTAATCATGTTCTACTTCTATAGAAAGCAAGACAAAACAATTTGAACCTTTCCCCGCTCCTTAAAAATATTTGTTGCTATACCTGAAGCAACTAGGTAATAATTTAGAAATACCAACAGAACTTTCATGTGGACACTTTTCCTCCCCAGTAGTTGAAGAACCAGGAAAAACCCATCACCTATGATAGGTGTATTTAATGGTGTCGGGATCAAGGATCCCCCAAAAACATAGCCACACTCACAAATCAGAGTCCAAACAAATAGCTCGGGTAGGACCTTCATTCTACCATCCTCGTGGTCAGCACCAGGAGATTACAGGCAAGTGGTGGGACATAGCCACACTCACAAATCAGAGTCCAAACAAATAGCTCGGGTAGGACCTTCATTCTACCATCCTCCCATTCGCCGCCAGGAGATTACGGGCAAGTGCTGGGACAGTAGGAGGAAAGCCAAAGCTCTAAGCAAACCATCGTCAACTAGGGTTCCTCAAGATGTTTTGAGTTGTGGCTGGTTGACCTCACATTTGAGGGTGCTTGCATAGTTTCAGGGCCAACGCCAACTGGCAAAGCCAGCAGCATGACAACATGGATGTCTATGGTGTCGATAAGGGTTACATTCTGGCCACCTCCATAAGAGGTTGCATCCTCGTGGTCGGCACCAGGAGATTACGGGCAAGTGGTGGGACATAGCCACACTCACAAATCAGAGTCCAAACAAATAGCTCAGGTAGGACCTTCATTCTACCATCCTCCCATTCACCGCCAGGAGATTACGGGCAAGTGGTGGGACAGTAGGAGGAAAGCCAAAGCTCTAGGCAAACCATCATCAACTAGGGTTCCTCAAGATGTTTTGAGTTGTGGCTGGTTGACCTAACATTTTAGGGTGCTTGCATAGTTTCAGGGCCAACGTCAACTGGCAAAGCCAGCAGCACAACATGGATGTCTATGGCGTCGGTAAGGGTTACATTCTGGCCACCTCCGTAAGACATTGCTTTCTTCCTACGGACCCTCAGAGTAAGGGGCATTTTTCTCACTGACCTCTGGTGAATTGGTTTAAGCAGGGGTTCCTCAAGACTCCAAAGATTTTTAGAAAGGCTTCTCTGTGGCAAAGTCAAAGCCTGCTTGTTGAGTGTGGCCAAGTTCTATTAAGCCTGGACCAGACAAAAGAAGACCATATGTGACAGACTATTTAAAAGACAAATACTATTGTAAAAGTAATGGTAATAAAGTTCAAATCTATGACAGGTCCACTAACACTAGGTTCACATATGTGCGGCCGTGTGGGCCGCGTTTTGCGCGGGCACAAGAGCCCATTCATTTCAATGGACTCCCGTGGCCCGGGACGAAGTCCCTGCACTTCTTCGGGAAAAGCAGCCCATACGGGAACCAAGGTTCTCAATACGGTTGTGATTTCCATTATAACTAATGGCACCCGCCCAGGGGTTCTGCATTCCTCTGTGCGGCTGCAGGTACTTTTGTGCGGGTCCCGCAACAGCACCACCCGCACAGATGTGAACCAAGCATAAAGACCAATTCTACCCAGTCCTGTGAATGAACGTTCAGGGTTGTTTAGTCCTATTGGTTGACTACTAGATCTCTTCCTTTTAGACAGTTGTACTACAATTGCCGAAATGACAAGCTGTGTGTGAGGAAAACATCTCTCCCCTGTTCTGTGGAAAAAGGGGCCAAACAGCCAAGTGGTATTTTCCAGCATGTTGGGGAATGAATTTAGCCATCTTGCAGTTGCTGTTGCAATCAGGTTATGGGGTTCCAATGTTGGAACATTTATGTTCAAATGAAGGATTAGTTTTGGGTCAGGTGAAGGTAAATGGTTTAATCAAAATGTATGTAAGCTTTCCCAACTCTTAGCTCAACAGCACCCTCATCTTTCCCTCCCTGGTCAATCCTGGCAGATGACCTCAATTTGGTGAGATGTTGAGAGGAGAGCCAAAGCTTTAGGCCAGCCATTCTCAACCAGGGTTCTGTGGAACCCTAGGGTTCTTCCAGAGGGTAAAGTCAAAGCCTGTTTGTTGAGTGTGGCCAACTTTTGGTAATCCAGGACACTGCAGGAAGTAAGAGGAGATGTCAACTCAAAATATTTGATTTACCAATTTGGACTGAACCACTGTGCCAATATCATGAGCGAATGAAAGACTTAAGAAGGGGGCATCTCTTCTCCAGGAGAAGAGCCAAACTTCAAGGCAAAGTCAAAGCCTGCTTGATGTGTGTGGCCGAGTTTTGCTAGTCCTGAACACAGCAGGAAGTAAAAGATGTCAACTCAAAATTTTGGATTTCCCAATTTGGATTTGGACCACTGTGCCAATATCATGAGTGAGTGAAGGCCTTAAGATGGGGGCATCTCCTCTCCAGAAGAAGAGCCAAGTCAAGTCAAAGCCTGCTTGCTGAGTGTGGTCAAGTTTTGAAAATCCTGAACACAGCAGGATGTCAGAGATCTCTCCGGAGCAAGAGGATATTCTCTCTTAGACAGTTGACAACTTGGACATTTTGGATTTCCCATTCTGGAGTGCACCACTGTGCCAATATTATTTTGTCTGAAGAAGTCCAAAATGTCTGGCTAGGGGACGGGTGGGGGGAAAATAGATGCTAAGCTCTGCAGGAGGGTGCTTTGAGACATCACTAAACCCACCATCCAATGTTTGGCCCACACAAGCGACCCTTCTATATGAGGAGACCCACAGAGTGGTCAAGGCGTTCCTCAAGACTGTCAGCTACCCCGCGTACGACAAAAGGAAGCCTGTCACCACCATGGATGTGAACTATGTTCTCAAACCATGGAGATGCACTCTCAACGCATTAGGAGGTTAAATCTTAACATCCACCTACTGTGCCAATATCATGAGCAAGCGGAGAGCATAAAATGGAGGCATCTCTCTCAGGTGTTTGGGCCTAACAGTGCCACTCTAGTCATAAAACAACGCAAGAAGGTCACTTACCTGCCATAAGGCAAAGTAACAACACCAGCCAGTAGTCCATGACTTTAACTTGGGCTGTTAATAAAGTCCTTTGCGGAAATTGGAACCCTTTAGTCGAGAACCAGTGGCTTAGGAATCCCCCCTCCCCTTCTTTAAAATGTCCTGTTTTGCGAGTTTCTAGTTTATTTGATCCTTTCACGGCTCGTTGGCTCGTTGGGTTCCTACGTTTGTTACATATCCGTGTCCTCCTCTTCTGATTGGGAGTTACAAAGCGTAGAATCCCTCCAAATGTTCCCGTGTCTATGCTGTTCTTTTTCCCTTTCTCGTCCTGGCCCCCCCCCTTCCTCGTGTTCTAGAAGGTGTCACTCGATCCCCAGCTGACCGTTCACAGGGGGGCTAATTTTAGATTTCGTTGGAAGGCCCCCCCCCCTCCACTCGCCCTGCCCAAAACTCTTCTTTGGAGGTGGAGGATAGATCATTCAGGTCTTCAAAGGGTGATTTTTTTTTTTTTGGACGGGCAAGGGGTTCATCCGTCAGGAGGA